ATAAACTAATGGGGAAGAGAAAGTAGAATTACAGAACTAAATTCCACAGGAACGAGGAGGAGAAGTGGGAGCCCCAGTTCTGGGAAGCAGCATGATGCTGACCCTGAGTGAGTCATGGGCTTATGCATCACCACACAATCCCTGAGAGCTCTGGAATGAAATGTGCTGTACAGCTAGCCCACCTTCCTGGTATGCTGAGGCAGGATGATCCCATCATCCCAGAGCCTGGCAGAGGAGTAGAATGCACTGCTTTCTTCCTGCATCCTGGAGAGCACAGGACATTGAACAGCACAGTAAAAACAGCAGGGCAGTGACAGAAATCCTAGATAAAACAGCAATATAGTTCCACCTGGAGAGAGTGGGCAGTGCTGCTGTATAAATTAGCCACATAGCAGATGTGACCACTCTGCAGTACAGCCCAGATCATCATCACTGTTCAGACACAGCTGAATGTCTTAATTTGGGCTTGTATGGTTTGGTTTTTAAGTCAGACAATTGTGTTTCCTTGAGAAGATCCCAACAGCACAATAGAATCACAAGGAAACATATGTATCAGTAGATTGAGGTTTGCTTCATTAGTCTGGGATGTGTTGAGCTGTAAGATGAATAAAAGTAGGTAATTCACTAATGAAATCCCTGCAAGGGTTTATATTTAATGGCCTTACTTTGCCTTCAGCTGGTTGAGCTCTGATTCATCTGTAGTGTCACTGTCCCCAGCTTGTGCAACTCTGGGGAAGTGTCTGGGATCCACCAGGGCAACTCTTGCATTAGGCCACAGGAACAGGAAGTTTGGACTGAATGATCTCCCACACTACAAAAAACAACAAAGGACAGAAAAAACCACTAGAATCAATCCCAAAAAGGTGTCTGGGATGGCACTGCTTCTGCACTGCTATTTTGGTGGGGTTTTTTTATTCCAACCACTTCCATGTTTAATTCTCACTATGCCACCAGGGCAACTCTTGCATTAGGCCACAGGAACAGGAAGTTTGGACTGAATGATCTCCCACACTACAAAAAACAACAAAGGACAGAAAAAACCACTAGAATCAATCCCAAAAAGGTGTCTGGGATGGCACTGCTTCTGCACTGCTATTTTGGTGGGGTTTTTTTATTCCAACCACTTCCATGTTTAATTCTCACTATGACAGAATCAATCAGGTTGTAAAAGACCTCTGAGATCATCGAGCCTGTGACCAAACCAAACACCACCTTGGCAACTAGACCACAGCACTAAGTACCACATCCAGTCTCTGTTTAAACCCCTCCAGGGATGGTGACTCCACCACCTCCCTGGGCAGCATATTCCAGTGTCTAATCACCCTTTCCATGAAGAAATTCCTCCTGATGTTCAACCTGAACCTCCCCGGGTGCAGCATGAGACTATGCCCTCTCGTCCTGTCACTAGTTGCCTTGGAGCAGAGTCTGATGTAATCATTGCATTTCTTACTTAAGTAGTTCACAGATGGAGTTAACAGTGTTTTAGAAATGAAAGGCTGGGAAATGTTAGCATGGTGTGCAAAGTGTGTGACCAGCCCCTGGGTGATGCCACCCTACCATGGCATAGCTCTCGCTGCCATAGCAGCCACCGATGATGATAGTGATCTTGGGGACAGCAGCACAGGCCACAGCAGCCATCATGGAGGCCTGAGCCTTCAGCCTGTTGGACTGAGCCTCTGCCTGCAAGGCAAACACACATTTTAGACCCTCCAAGTCTCTCTTGTATATTCCCTCCACTTCCACCAAACTTGTATCCCTAAAACCTTCATTTATAGTTCTGTAGGGTAATTCCTCCCACAACGGAGATGCAGCAACATTACCTACTATAAAGCCATTATACACTTAGAGATGTAAATCAGCAGAAGAATTGCAACTAGGTCCAAACTCTCCACACTGAGCAGCTCATTTGTGCCAGGCTTTGTTTCTTAGGAAGAACAAGACTGCACAAACATCTCGTGGAGCTTTTACCACAAAGCTCTCCCTAGCTCAGCACAAACCCTCCTGTATTTAATGCCTTCACTCTAAAGGAGAAATAGCTCATTTTCTGAGTGCTATCATAGAAGAAGAATCAATACACTGGATTTCAAGTCAAAAGCACTATGAATTCCAAGTTTTCCAGCAGCATTGCCAGTATCATTTTATATAGGCATATAGGCTTCAAATTAGACTCTAGTGAGAATGCTGATGGAGAGATTTAAGGACAATGAAATGATGAAGGTTCATGGTTTAAACCACCAGAAGTGTTTAAAAAAGAACTTTCCTGACAATTATTCATTTTGAACATGTAACTTTAAGCACAACAAGAGCTAGAAATTGCTTGAAGCAGCCAGAACTGAGCAGCCCATACCTGGGAGATGCTGGTTGGCTCCTCTGGCTGGGGAGCAGTGTTTTGGAAGAAGAGGATGGGGATGACACGTTGGCCACAGAGCTGGACAAAATGACTGCCCTTGAGAGCAGCATCCTGAGCCAACTCCCCGTTGTTAGCCACTATCCCCACTAAGTGCCTACAGAACAAGACACATGGACAGTTAGACTCCATCTTAGAGGCTTTTCCCAACTCTATAACCATTCCAAGATTTTCACTTTTGAACGCTAGAAATGATCGGAATATTATAAAACTTAATAGAAAACCACTCAGACATGTCCATCCATTTGGATAATGAATATTCCCAGCCTTACCCTTCCACATGGCCAAATCCTGTCACTAATGTTGTTCCATAGTCAGCTTTGAACTCCTGGAATCTGCTTCCATCCAGCAGACGGCTCAGGATCTGCAAAGAAACACACAGACTTGACGTTACTACAGAAATGGAAGTGAAAGTGTCTGCTCAAAGAAATGCTCAGGAGAGCTGTGTTGTGCAAGAAATGCTCCTTGGTGAGCAAAGAAGGTTTTAGGAGCTCTTGCTAAACACTCAACATGCACAAAACATCACATTTGTCATTAGTGTAATTAATTGAGTATTTTTCTCAAGGCAGTACAAGGCATACTGACACAACAACTCAGCAGGGCATGGAAACAGATGAGCATCACTGGTGTAATCCTCAATTAGAATCACAGAATCATCAAGGTTGGAAGAGATTTCTATGTGCATCAAGTCCAATCCTTAACCTGTCACTGCTGTAACCCCTAAACCCTAAACCTTATCCTCCAGTGCCACATCCAGACACCTCTTAAACACCTCCAGGGATGGTGACTCCACCACCTCCCTGGGCAATATTCCAGTGCTTGAACACCCTAACAGTAAAGAAATTGTTCCTAATATCTCCTCTGAGTCTCCTCTGTCTCAGCTCAAGGCTATTCCCTCTAGTCAGAGGATCATAGAATCATCAGTGTTGGAAGAGACCTTAAAGATCAAGTCCAACCACTAACCTGTCACTGCTGTAATCCCTAAACCATATCCTCCAGTGCCAGATCCAGACACCTCTTAAACACTTCTAGGGATGGTGACTCCACCACCTCCCTGGGCAATCTAACCCAATGCCTGACCAATTATCTCAAGCAGGTTTTCAGTTGAATATTTCATATAATTCTAGAGGACTATGTCCATGCTGCTTCATTGCAGACTCAATGGATGAGGTAATAGAGAAGACCTTGGGTACTCTGGGGTTCTTCAAGAGAGAACAGCCTGTGAATCTAGTCTGACCCCGCCCTGTCATGGGAGTAAGAAGAACATGGAACTGTTGGAGCAAGGCAGAGGAGGCCACAACATTGCTAAGAGGACTGGAGCATCTGCCCTATGAGGACAGACTGAGGAAATTGGGGCTGTTCAGCTTAGGGAAGAGAAGGTTGTGTAGAGACCTCATAGTAGCCTATTAGTATCTGAAGGGGCTCCAGGGAAGCTGCAAAGGGACTCTTTAGGAGACCCTTTGCAGTTAGGAGCTGCAGTGACAGGACAAGGAGTAATGTGTTCAAATTGAAGGAGGGGAAATTTATGCTTGATATTAGGAAGACGTTTTTGCTGTGAGGGTGGTGAGACAGTGGCACAGGTTGCCCAAGGAGGCTGTGACTGCCCCAACCCTGGCAGTGTTCAAATCCAGGTTGGATGAAGCCTTGCGCAACCTGGCCTGGTGGGAGGTGTCCCTGCCCAGGACAGGGGATTGGGTCTGCATGATCTCCAAGTTCCATTCCAACCCCTAAAATTCTATGATTCTATGAATCTGAAGTAGGAGACAGAGCAAGATGAAAGATTAAGGACTGCAGTCCTGTCCTTACCAGCTTGACAGGAAGAGTGCACCTGTAGTTTAGTGGTGCCAAACCTAGGAGCTCCTCAGGGCTGTACAGAGGATTGTCATGCTCTGTGTCCTCCTCTGGCACTGGGTCATAGTTTAAGGTGGAGACAACATTGCGAATGCATTCATAGGCCTCCTGTTCTGAGGGTGCAAAGTGGTCAGTGCAGCCACTGACTCTGGAGACAGAAACATTCATTAGCCTTGAAAGAAAACCCAAATCAAAGGAAAAAAACCTCAATCCATATTATAACCCTCCAAAATCCCTGAAAGTACTGATTTTGTTCTGTGTGAAGTTGCTCAAAGCTGTGGCTCAGTGGAATTTCTGCCCAATCTAACCCCAAACCAAATTCACAGTAAGGAGAAACTTCTCTGTGAATTTTCTGTTCATCTGGATTAAAGAGAAGCCTTTAAATTTAGTTTCATGCTGCTGCTGCTGCAAACAACTTCATAAAGGGAAAACAGGAAAACAAACTTAAAGCATTATGTCAAAATAAACAGGTCAAGCCTGGGTATAAAGACAGTAATGTATTACATGTAATTAGGATAAGTATAGGTATCCTGGAAAACACTAGGAAAATAAGTGATAACATCCCTCTTCTGTACCTGTCCCTCCGAGGCACAGAGGAACTGACCTGTCTGGAGCTATTCAGGAGGAATGTGGGAAAATGGGGACTCAAATCCAATTTGCCCTGGCCCTGCCTCACCCCATAACATCATTTTACTTCCATTTGGCTGATTTAACCCAAACCCCGGAACCTGGGAAGGAAAACCACTGTTATCACAGCTTCCCTTTTGGCCCTGAGCTGAAATGCCAATGCCACATGCCCAGTTCTCCAGTGTTTCTGAGACTATTCCACGTACTTGGAATGGAGTTTGGCCCCTCCAAGTTCCTCAGGAGACACGTGCTCACCCGTGGCAGCCCTGACCAGGGGTGGACCAGCAAGGAAGAGTGTCCCAATCCTGTCCACAATCACAGCTTCCTCAGCCATGGTGGGCACATAGGCACCTCCAGCCACGCAGGAGCCACACACCACAGCCACCTGGGGACACAGAAATCACGACAGCCACTGTTGGAGAGAAGAGTGGGAAGGCAAAGCTATCACAGAAATGCTGCACGTGCTAAATCACAGCTTGGGGAACAAGGAATGAGAGGGAAAGCAGCAGGCGGCTTGTAGAGTTCCATGGTCACCCTGACATAATCCAGGGACGTGATGCTTTTCCCTCATGGGAACACTTAGAAGATCCTTATGGCTGAAGTGTTCTGTTATGAGAGATACTGAACTGGGCACTGCTGAGGCCACATCAAATCCTGGGGACCCCTCATGACAAGACATTGAGATGCTGGTGCATGTCCAGGGAAGGGAATGGAGCTGGGGAATGGGCTGGAGCACCAGGAGAGGCTGAGGGAGCTGTGGGGGCTCAACCTGGAGTAAAGGAGGCTCAGGGAGAACCTTCTGCTCTCTGCAACTCCTGCCAGGTGGCGCAGCCAGGTGGGGTCAGGCTCTGCTCCCAGGGAAGGAGGGACAGGACAAGAGGAAACACCTCAGGCTGTGCTCCCAGGGGAGGTCCAAGTTGGCTATTAGGAAGATCTTCCTGGAAAGGGCTGTCAGGCATTGGAATGTGCTGCTCAGGGAGGTGGTGGAGTCACTTGATGATCTTAAAGCTCTTTTCCAACCATAACAAAAGATAAAGCCTTGAGCAGCCTGGTCTGGTGGGAGGTGTTCTTGCTCAGGGCAGGGGGATGGGACTAGATGGTCTTTGAGGCCCATTCCAACCCCTTAACATTCTGTGATTCTCTGATTCTATACCATTTGAGTCTCTCTTCCCCACAAGCAGCATTAGGAATTTCTCTGCATGTTTGAGAGTTGCTCCTAAACGCAAATCCTTTTCCAGAACTGAACTGCTGACAGTTACCACACTTCCTTGCCCTGCCCACGCCTCTGTACCTGAGGGATCCTCATGGCAGACATGATTGCTTCGTTGTAGAAAATCCTGCCACCATGCAGCTTGTCAGGGAACAGCTCCGACTGTGGGGACAGAGACAAAGTGAGGTTCAGTATTAACCATTAATCCAACCCTTCACTCCATTCATTCCCAAACACGTCATGACTGACCCAGGAAGGTCCCAACTAACAATCACATCTGAAACTTTCACATTCAGCATTCACTAGGGGATTTATTCCCTTCTTATTCCCCTTCTTATGCCCTTTATTATTCCCACATTATTCCCTTACTATTCCCCTTATTATTCCTTTATTATTCCCTCATTATTCCCTTACTATTCCCCTTATTATTCCCTTTATTATTTCTTCATTATTCCCTTACTATTCCCTTATTATTCCCCTAATTAATCCTTTATTATTCCTTCATTATTCCCTTACTATTCCCTGATTATTCCCTTATTATTCCCCATTGTGAAATCTCCCCAAAACAACTTTGGGTTTCACAAGCAAAGGTTAGTTTAGTGATATTCTTTTGTGAAACCAATTTTTTATACCCAAAGTGAGACTATAAACGTCAAGGGGAGGCTCATGTTCCTCCTTAATCTGTGAAATGCCTTCAGCATTTCCCTTTTGACTTAGGTTTTTGATACTATTCCTCAGGCTAAAACATTTTATAGTTAATATACATAATGTATATTATTTAGCAGTAAAAATATACTGATATAAGCATATAAATATAGGATATATTATTAT